TGCTGCAGCCTGCAGCATCTGGAGAACAACTTATGTCAGAGGGTAAGTTGCTTGAGACTACATACAGGCTTTTACTGCCTCTTGCTTCACTGTGAGAAACAGAGTATGGATCTCCTTCTGTGTAATGGTTCTTGCTGTTTGTCAGACCTTAGGGGAATCTTCCCTGGTCTGTCCAACTCTGGGCATTTACAGATCTGGCATCAGAGAAGACAAGCAATTCACAAGGAGAATTCAGGAGGAATGCATTGCTGGGGTAAGTCCTGTTTCTTATTTCATGTCATGGTGTGGTATTTTACAAGACTTCATCTCATTTCCCTCCTTTTTAGGACTCTATAATTAAATGGTAGCATAGCAGAAGGAAATGATCTGGAGTAACTTAGCTCCTTAAAAAATAAAAATTCTAGGCAGATGAAGTCTGTTGAAGTTTGTGCAAATAATAGACATGCTACAGTAAAGACAGTAGTAACGGTAGGGTCAAAAACCTAATTCTGATTTAACAGGCTTTTAGCAGCTGCAGTGCTGAGAGCTGGCACTTCCAGCACAACATGGATCCTTAATTGGGCTGTGGGAAACAAGGAACAGCCTTTTTTTTTTTTTCTCCTAGCAAATCCAGCAGCAGTTACTCAAAAGCCCAAGAAATTTCCTTGATTTATTGCACTCTAAAACTGAAAAACAAACCTTAGATGCCTACTTAAATGAGTGTGAGTAACTTTAGTACTTTGGCAAAGCTGACTGTCAACTGCTTGTAATTAATGCTTATGCTTGGATGTGTGATACCCTAATTGGCAGGCTACGACTTGGCCTCTGAGAAATTCTTAGTGTGACTAAATCAGCATGACAGTTTTTCAGTCAGCTGGAAAAAAATGAGGTGAGAACTCTTGCAAATCTTGGTATAGGTAGCACTGTATGTACCAGGTTCTCATAAAGCAGTTTATCAAGTGTATGCATTACCTTATGACAGTGTTATTTCTCATCTGTAAAGCTTCTTGCAGTCTTTCTGGGTCCCTTCTGTTGTGCTGTAAATAGTTTGGTTTTGCACTTGGTTCCAAGCTGACTGTATTTCCTTTTTTGCTTTGCAGAGTACCCCAAGACTGCTTCAATCTCGTTTGTTTCCAGATAAGGACATAAGGCTGGAAAATGCTTGACGACACCAAAGTGCTTTGTGACACTGGTGTGTAATTAGGCTGGGGTTTGCCAACTGAATGAGCCTTGCTATAGCAACCTGCAGGTGCACCAGTCCACTTTAATGGATCTGGAGCCATTATTGTGCACCTTCAGCAGGTGTCCAGCCTCCAGAGAGTTTGTCACTAGTCTAGCTTTTGTCACTAGTCTAGCTTTCTCCTTTTTCAATATTGTGCATTTTCTGTGGGCACCTTTCCAAAGGTACTGACAGATCCTGACTCATGTTTTACTAATACAACACTGCAAAATTCTTAGCATAGATGTGTGTTTCAGTCTGGAGCCTTTGCAATCTTTCAAAAAGGCAACAACATCCATCTGTTTTCTTCCAAGCTAATATAAAGTTGACAGCTTTTAAGCTTAAGATGAATTTGAAATACAGTCAGTGAAGTCCTGTCTTCTGTGTGTCAGAATTTAAAAGTCCTGAGTCAGGTTCTGAGCTTATTCAGTTATGCATTTCCTGTGTGGTTCAATGACTCATGATTTTTTTTTGTCTGTTGTTTTTAATCAAGATTGTAAAATTTGTTTGCCTAAAAATCTCCATTTCTCCTTTCCCCCCAGTGGTTATGAAAGGAAGGAATTACAAAGTCTTCTGGTATGTTGTTTTCCACAGCACTAAGTTCTCCAGTATTATGCAGAGCACAAATTCCCCAAGCAGTGGTTATCGAGATGGGGAGCTAGGAGTGAGTTTGGGTGGGAAACTAATAAATCTTTGAATTGCTCTCCTTTTGTAATGTACTTTTTTTTCTCCACTTAGGGGGTGGGGAAACAGCCTCATGAACTGCTAATACAGTTTGTCAACTGGAGTTGCTTTGTTGAGTTATACATCCTGCTGTGAGGGATTCACACCATGGCAGGGTAGCAGGATGATAATCGGTACATGCTGTACATGGGCTTACTCCCTTCTGAGCTGAGTCAGACCCACGCAGATGTGAACATAACAAGGACTTCTGTGGTGCTTATGAGAGGCTCAGTCCTGGTAATCTCAGTGAACAATCTTGTGTAGCAACAGGAGCTCTTTCTGCATGTGTGCTCTGCTCAAGTGGGGATCGTGTTCGTTGTTTGGAATAGCATCATCTTGCTTATAATCACAGCAGCTCCTGCAGCACACACTTCAAAGCTGGGGAAATGTTGACTCAAATCTGCAGTATTTTCATTTCTTGAAGCCAGTTATATGCAGGATCTGTTTTGCATAAAGGAATTGCTTTGTCTCGATAGGGAATCTGAGAGAAAATGAGTCTTCTTATTTTATCATAAGACTGCAAGTGATGGGGATTAATAATGCACAGAAAGGTTTGTAGTAGTTGATGAGTTGTATCAATTGTGATAATACATCTTTTAATTCAATGAAATGTAGAGGTTCTTTGATCCCAGGATATATAATAGGAAGTTATGTGCCCCATACTGACCACTCATGGTCTCTGAAACCATGGTGTGCTGTCTAGTGCCAATCAAATAAAAGTAATAATAATAATTGTAGGGAGGGGCAAGGGAGGAATAATTGTCAACATGTAAGCTTGTGCTTCTGAGGATCCAGAAAACTCTGTCTGCAATTGCTGTTTGTGTTTGAAAAAATAAACTGTGAAAGTTGCTTTCATTTTCAGTAGCTCTTTTAAATTCTGATTATTAGGGCTTGGCGAGGTGCCATGAGGCACACAAGCTGCAGCAGCACCTGACTAAGTATTTCACAAGTCTTTGTATGCCAGCAGAAACAAGCACCAGCCACCAGCAGGGGAAATGAGTTCAGATTGTCAGAGGGTTGTTTCCATGAAAATTCCTGAAGCAAGAGCAGTAACATGGTGGGTTTGATGTTGCTCTTCTATGCTTTGACCATGCATTTCTTTGGAGATGCTCTTGACTATGTGAGCCTGGTTAAGTATTTACTTTCACACAACTAATGGGATTTAAAACATCCTCTTGCATCCCCTGGTATTTCAGGGATTGTTTATCTTGTTTCACTGTTTCTCCTTCAGGCTTTCTGCTGACAAGTGGTGTTAGCAGCTTCTTGGAGGTCAGGTCCTTGCAAGAGATGGCTTGCAATCTGCATGTGATTAAATATGAATAATCCTTTCCCTGTTCAGCAAGGTAAGCACTGCTGAGAATCCCATTGAGTCTGATGTGAATTAAGCATGTGGTGTGGTATTTTCTCACACAGGATGAGGTTGTGCACTGGCCTTGGTGATTGGGGAATCTGTAAGAGCCAGTGTTTGTTGTGAAGGTAATCATGGCCTCACACCACGGGGCGTACGTGTCTGCAGGCAGATGTGAAAGCCATGATGATTTGATGGAAAGGTATGAGGAGTTGCAGAGGTTAATCAGAAATCCAAATGCATTTGTTTGTGTGCTGTGTTTGAAAGAATTTATCTTATCTTTACCATTCTAATAATGCTAATCTGAACATGAGTAGCTGCTCTGCAGTTGTGACCAGACTATGACTGTTCCTTCTCTTCATATGGTAATTCCTCCCCATACTTTACTGCCCTGTGTTAAAGGAGGGGGGGCCTTAGACTTGGCATGAGACCACTCTATGCCTATTTTAACTCTGTTGTGAAACCACATACAGTTCTGATCTCACCTGGGGGTGAGTTTTGCAATGCAAGTATGTTTGCTTTTAACCCTGGCAGAATAAAGATGCTTCAGTTTCCCAAAGGCTTCTTCTGCCAGCAGTTCAGCCATGAAGCCAGGGCTGTGTAGCTGCAGAGTGAGCCTTGGGATTGGGCTGGCAGCTGCCAGATTGCTGAGTCCCGTTGAGCAAAAACCATGTCACAAAGCACACAGAGAGAAGTCTGGACAGGAGCACGTTTTATGCATAGCTGGAGGTGACTTCTTGCACAAAATGTTCGCTCTTTTGAGTAATGTGGCTGCACCAGGTGTAAGGGAGAGCACAGCTCTGGAGTACAGCTCCAGTGTTCCCTGCTTTCTGCAAAATTCTGGATGGAAATGAAAACAGTATTGGTTTCTTTCCCTGCATCCTGTAAATACAGCTTTTGGACATAAACTAGAGCAGGGAAGTCTTCCTCTGTTCTCTAGATAAAGCAAAAAAAAATCCTAGTGAAATTTGCACAGCCCAGTCATTGAGGAGCAATAGATAATACACCCACCCCTCCCCCCAAAAAACCAACACAAACAAACAAAAACAAACCACAAAAAAAAAAAAAAAAAAAAAAAAAAAAAAAAAGCAAAAAAGCACCAACCAGCCCCGTCTAAGCCCGGAGTGTCACTGCACTCACAGCAGCCTTTTAATTTGAGAATGTTTTTGTTTCTCTTCCGCCTGCGCTGGGCGTTCACATGCGCTTCCTACCCCGGGAGTTCCTGGTCTCCTTTCCTCACTGAAACAGAAAGGATTCAAGCCAAGGGCCTGAGATGAGCAAACCCTCCCCCTTCCCTCCCTCGGACGGTCGCCACGCTGAGTATCCTCCCTGACCGAGGGCTTTGGGCTGGTTCGGAGCTAGTCCTGGCCTAGGCGTGTCCGGAGGTGCTGATGCTGCTCAGGAGCGGGGGCATTGCCCACGTCCCTGCGGCCGGGCCGGCATCTCTCCGTACGCACACGGAGGCGTTTCCCGTGGATTCCCGGGAGCTGAGCAGCCCCCATTCCCGCCGCAGCGAGGGCCGGGCGGGGTCACGCTGCCGTTCACCCGCCGCTCTGCTGTCGTTCACCCGCTGCCCCGCGCCCCGTAGAGCCGCTCCCCACGTCCCCAGGGGCCGCCCCCGCCCCGCCCCGCGAGGATGTGACGCCGCCGGGGCCGCCCCTCGCGGGCGCGGCTCTGAAATAGGGCTCGGCCGCCGCCGCCGGGCAGCCGGAGCCGCGGAGCAGCGCGGCCATGCCCGCCCCCGCCGCGCCCCGCAGCCTGGCCGCTGCCGCCGCCCCCGCCGGCAAGGCCAAGCTCACGCACCCCGGCAAGGCCATCCTGGCAGGTAAGGGGCTTCCGGGGCTCTCCTGGGGACGGGGCTCGCCCCGCCGCTGCCAGCGTGGGCATCCGGCTGGGCGGAGGCTGCCGGGCCCGCCCCGGGGCGGTGGCGCTCCCGCAGGTGCTGCTCCATCCCGGGACTGCCGCCCCTCTCCCGCTGCCTGCGGAAGGCGACCCCGCTGGACCGGGGTTTCCCTTCAGCCACAGCCGGGGAGCTCCCGCAGCTGCATCCCGAGCCTGGACGCTGGCTGCGGGCTCCTGCTGTCCGCGGAGCCTCCAGCGTCTTGCTAGGCTGTTTGTGCACCCGGTGGTCCGGCCGGGAAGCTGCTGGTGGGCTCGGACATGACGCGGGTCGAGAGGCACTCGGGGGTTCAGCAGGAGGGAGCGGAACTGATGGGAGAGGCTGGTGGCAGCAAGGGCCCCACATGCTCCCCCGAGGGTGTTGAGGGACAGGGCTGGAGCAGCAGCAGTCGTTTGTCCCTGCCCCAGCTGTGTCCCACAGGCTGCGCTGAAACAGCTCCTCTGAAGGCTGCTGGGTCCCTCCTTTGTGCCTGAGCATCAGTCTCTTGTATCAGGGCGTGTTTTCCCGTCCAGTTCTGACCACTTCCATGGGATCAGAACAGTAAGTGCGCCGAGGGCAGCAGTAACTGCAGAGTTAACGCTCTGCCTCCTGCTTGTGGCTCTTTCGAGCTCTGAGCTGAATGGAGTCCAAGACAGTCGCAGGCTTGTTAAACTCCTTTGTAGCTGTTCATTAGCTCCCTGGTTTCTCCTGCCAGTCGCAGGACAATTCCCAGAGTGGAGATTAGCGTCTTTGTTTTGAAATGAGCCATCGTAGCCTCGACATGATTGGCATGTTTAGAGCTTTTGTGTTTTCCAGCCAATTCCCCCTCCTACGATTGTGCCTTTGTTTGTCTGTCCAACTCCCTGCTCCCCTCCAAGGGCAGAGCTCCAGCCCCCGGTAGCGGCGCCGGGGAGCAGCGGGGCCGTGCCCGCACGGGGAGCGGAGCCGCGGCCGCTCCAGCTCTGCCCCCGGCCCTGCCCCCGCCCCGCCGGGCAGCCTCCCTCGCAGTCCCGGGAGAGCTGGCGGAGGTGGATGCGGCCGCTGGAGCGTGCAAAGGGTGCCGAAGCCTCCCGGTGTCACGTCTCCGGGAAGGGTCTTTGCCATCACTCGGCTACCTGGCCAAAGGGCTGGGGCACAAGGAGGAGGCAGCCTTCAACGAGAGGGTGGCTTCTCACTCAAGTGAGCCCTTCTGTGAGACCAGGCTCCTCCGGAGCTCTGTGCCCCTCTCTGCTGCCCCATCTCAAAATGGGTTGGTTTTTTTCAGACCTCTTTTTTAAGACCTCTTGACTTAAAGGTCTTTTAAATAGGATTTAATCCAATTTTAGGATTTTTTCCCCACCTTCCCAGTCTTTCCCAGGTTGCTGTCCATGTGCGATGAAAGCATCAGGTTGTCACTGCCTGGACCAATGTACCGGGATACTTTCATGGATCTTGTGTAGATCTGTAATCGGGATCATCAGCTTACCAGAATCAGTCTCCTGCGAGAGAGGTTGCAGCAGACTTGCAGAGGTAGAAGAAGGACTCTATTGAGATGCTGGTCTTCTCCTCACAGGCTGTAATCAGAGTAATTGGTTAATGGGCAGAAGTCCAGCCAAGCCTCTGTGGCATGTAATTGTATTAGAGAACCACAGAAATGGGAGAAAGCTGCTATTAACTCCCTGTGCCCTGGTCTGCTCAGCCCTCCAGCCCCTGGCTGGGGGATGCAGTGCTGTTTGTGGCTGTCTCTGCTGACTTTAAGGGGTCTGCTGATGCTCTCAGAGTTTCTCATCTGACATCTGTCTGCACAACAGGGATGTATACTCCATGTTCTGGTGAGCTGGAGGTGTTAAGATGGAACATTCCTGCTGTGCTTCATCAGCCTGTGCTGGTGGAGTTAAATAAGCCATCATCCCTCCCTGGGTGCGTATCTGCTCCCAGACCCTGTGGGTAATTGGGAACCTCTGCCAGAGAGGCACAGCTCCCTTGGCTGCCCAGACCTCAACAGGCTGGGGCTGGCTCTTTTCTGAAGAGATGCAAGTAAAGCTCTGTCTGCCAAGAGCTCTTCTCCTTCAATTGTCGCAACAGACAAAACGCAAGGTTAAAAATTAATTTGCTAATGGGCCCTCCTTTGTCCAAGCAGCTGTTGTGTGCCAAGGCAGCCCTTCACCTTGCAGTGACAGTGCTGCTGGTGCTGCTGTGGCCACGTGTGGCCTGAGCACATGAAGGCAGCTCGGGCTCTTCTGCTGGATAACAACCTGTTAGCAGGTGGGCCAGGAGCCCAGCTCTGTCTCTGGCCTCCCACAGCCAGCCTTCCTGTTTTGTGCTGTGATTTCCAAACAGCCCACCAGACTCCTGTCCCTCCCACCAGCATCCTGAAGGGCTGGGTGCTGCTGGTCTACTGTGCTCCCAGCACAGGGCCACACTGCAGTGGGGAGCTTGAAATAAAGGCAGTTAAGTGGCGAGACAGGAATGCTGGTGGCAGAGCTGGTGCTGGAGTCATCAGTCACCTCTGGGAATCCTGAGTGCTCCTTCACTGGGTTTTTGGATGCCACGTTGGCAGCTCGTTTTGGTGCTGTTGGGTCAGCTCAAGTCAGCCTGCAGTGTGGGCTATTTCCAGCCCAGCACAAATGATCTTTGCCTTGCACTCCTGCCCTCCTCTTGAGAACTTTGCTCATGGTTATTAGTGCTCATTTGATGAAAGGCTCTGCCTGCCCTCGCCAGAGTTAAGTACAGCCTTACTCTGTTTCTAGCCACCTTTGAAGCCTGGGGTCTGCTCCCTCCCACGGAGAAGCTCCCAGCTGCTCTCTGCATGGTATCTCTGCTCACCCGGGGGCTGTTGCACAGTTGCTGTTTCTACCTACACCTAATCCTGCCTGGCCAGGGAGGCAGAATGCCCGGATGTTGTCCTACGTGGTGCTGGATTTGGAAAGAGCTCACAGGGGTTGTACCTGCTGCCCTGGTGTTGAGTATCACTGGCCAATAACAGTGATGTGCACCAGGGTCCTAGGGGGGAGCATGGGCAGGGGAGGGGGGAGGGTAGGACATGAAGCAGGGTTCAGCAAGGGAGCCTAGGCTCCAGAACAAAGCAGTAATTGGAGCTTCAGTTTCCTCTTCTTTGTTAATCCTTGATATTATCTTTCTTAGGAAATGCTGTACCTGCAGAGGAGAGGAGTCAGGGACTGGGTGTGAAAGCTGAGACTTGCCTTTTGCAGAGCAGGTCTCCTTCCCCAAAAGTCCTAAGTCCATCTGGATTTCCAGGGTCATTGCTCTCAGGAGACGTTGTGGGGGAGGTTGTGCTGCTGTGAATGGCTGTGGTCCAGCACACTCCCTGGTTTTGAGATAGATTCCTGGTGCTCACAGCAGAGCAGGGGATCTTTCTCCCTTCATGCTGAGCTGGGTGGAGGCCAAGCTCAGCCAGGGGGAAAGATTGGAGAGCGTGGAGGGAGCCAGTCCTGCCTGCTGGCCCTCAGTGCATCACTCCTGGCTGTGGCTTCTTCCTGCACTTGCCTCCTGTGGCTATCATCTGTTTGGGGAGTGGGGCACAAGGACCATGCTAGCCTTGAGTGAGTCCCTGCCTTCCTGGGAGCCCTCATGGGCTGCAGTGGAAACCTGTAAGAGCCCCAAGGCTCCTGGTGGGAGGAGGATGTAAGCCCCAGGGCCAGGAAACCATCTTGGGGTGTGCCTTCAGTCTGAATAGATTCTGTTTGAGCTGGAGTTAACCCTGGGCTGTGAAATGTGAGTTTCTGAGATTTTCACATGCCTGATGTTCTGCTTGACATTCTGCAGGCAACCATTTTCTCTGGGTTGATGTAAATGATTGGAAGGAGTCGTCCGTCTTCCTGAGACAATGAGCACCATGAGCTGACAGCTTGGGGATGTTGCAGCATCTCTCAGCTCTCATGGTGCTGTGTGGTGCATGCCAATGCAGCCTCCCTGCTCCTGCTTGTGCCCTGAGGTCTCAGGTCATCTCTTGACAGCAGGAATTGTTTTTTTTGGCCATCTCTTCTCCCTCTGTGCTCCAGTGCTTGGTACAGCGGTCACTCCCCCGTGCTGGGGGCTGGGAGATCAAAGCCTGTCCCCAGGGAAGTCTCAGTCCTGGCAGTGGCTTCTTTGTCCAGCTATGGGGCTGTACTGGGGGAGTCATCCAACAGCCCTGGGCTCTGACATCGGCTCCCTGTTACATGTCTTAAGAGAGTTTTTGACACTTGAAGAGTTGGTATCTGAAGTGGTGGGATGGCCAGGAGGCAGCTCATGGTGACAAACCTGGGGCCTTGAGGTGTGCAGGGCAATGGGGAGAAGGTGACTTAAGCAGGACGAAGAACCTGACAGTCCCCAAAGGTGGAATCAGCACCAAAAGCAGAGAATGCTTTAACTGTGAGCATGGGGAAATGGCTTCTGCCATTATACTCACAGCTGAGAAGTTTAAATTGCAATAATGATTAATTGTCATATTGAGAAGTAAATGCAAAGCGTGATGAATGAGTGAGTTGTGAAAGGACAGCCTGTTCAAACAGGACAGTTCCAGTAAGATTCAGGACAAATGGTTTCATCCCATCTGTAGCATTATCTGCAGCACTGTTTGCACGGGGCTGTTTACCCTCAGTGGCACAGGGTACAGAGGGGCACCTCTCATGTTTGCCATTTTGTTTCACTGGGGGTTCAGACTGTCACCAGCCTGTCTGTAGCATGCTCCCATGACCGAACCAGCTGTGAATGTCTGCTTACTGCTGGGCATGCTGAACCCCTGTGCTCCCCACTGGCCTTGCCCCTGTCAGATGGGAGGGAGACCTGCCTAACCCAGCATGGGGACAGTCACCCTGTGAGCCTGCTGACCTGTTGCATGCAGGACATGTTTTTTCCCTTCTAACCAAAACACAGTTAAACTTCTGGCAGTCTGGTTTGGGGAGGCAGCCTTCCCCATCTCAGCACTGAGTCAGACTTTTGGTGGCAGAGCTGCCCCCGTGGTGGTTTTCCTCAAGGATGTGGCTGTGGATGGGTGGTGAAGGGCTATCCGTGGCCAGAGGAGGTGCCTGGGTGAGGACAGCAGTGCTGGAGCTCTGCTGAGAGCCAGCTGTCCTGGAGAGCTGCAGCCCCAGCGAGGCTCCTGCCTGCTCCTGAGCCCCCAGTTTCACAAGATGGCCCGTGGTGGGAAGTGCTGGGAGGGTGGAGCTGTCGAACCCGTTTCACCGCTGCAGGCAGGCAGGGCAGGATTGCTCCACGGCAATGGATGGGTGAAGAGCAGCCTGGATGGCTGCCAGGGGGGGTTGGTCCCTCAGTGAGGGGAGCAGGCAGCAGTCTGGGCTGCAGAGACCTGTCACAAGCTGCTGGTGGGTATTTCTGCCTTCCTGGTTCATAGCAGCCTGATGGTCTTTGGTTTTTGGGGTTTTCTTCCTTATTTCCCCAGATCCAAAAGCTATATTAGCTAATTAAAAGGGCACCAAGTCCCCTTGTGAGAGTGCTGAAACTGTCAGCACTGCATCCAGGAGTTGGGCAGGATTGCACCCTGTGCCTGTAGTGGTCTGTGTCACCTGTGTCAGCTGCTCAGCTCACCCCATCCAGCTGCACCTGCTGCACGTGGGCTGGGAGCCCCCAAAATGGGGAACTCAGGGCTCAGCCTGCACTGGGAGCCTGTTTGTGCCTTCCCACCATCCTCAGACACCCAGCTGACAGAATGGAGAAGCTCCAGGCATGGGCCCTGGGAGAGCTCTGCTGCTTTGCTTCCAGACCCTTAGGAATAATTTCCTCTGGCCTGAAAGGATCCTAACGAATCTGAAGTTAAAAGGTGCTTTTAATATGGAAGTCAGGTGCTGGTATGTCAGCATGTGAAATTACTCTTAGAATGGAGAGACTGAAATTGCTCCCCAGGTGCTCACTTCTCATCAGAGCTGCACAGAGACCTGCTGCTCCATCACTCTGCAGGAGCAGGATGCTTTTGCAGGCACAGCCACTTGCAGGAGTGGCAGAGAGGGCAGTGCCACCCCCTCTCTGCCTCTTAAGTGGTTCCCAGACAGGGCAGTGGATGTTCATTGGGGCACTTGCCTCTGGGTAGGAGTTTGCAGAGGGTGACAGTGCCAGTCCTGGCTGTGCAGCCTTGGTTTGTGTCAGTCCTAGGGCTCTTCTTGTCTTCCCCATCACAGCTGCATCCTCCTGCCTTCAACACTGCTCTGGGCTGGAGCTGGGTCCCTGGGTCGGGGTGGCCAGAAGCTGCTCATGGACAGTGTGTGGAGCTGAACCTGTGTGTGCTGATGCCATCACGTGTCGTGTGAGCATTGCAGGGGCAGCACCCTCCCACTGTCCCCAAAAAACCCTCTTTTCCCTCCTGCCAGCTCTCCCCAGCCGTGCCCAAGGCTGCAGGCGTGTCCTTAAAGCACGGCCTCCCCGGGCCTCTCTGCCGGGGAAAGCTAAACTTTTTCTAGGAAAACTCTGCCAGGGTATTTTTCCCTTCTCTCCCTCTCTGCTGAGCCTGCAATGTCAGGATAGCTGGCAGCTGGAGCCCTTGCAGGCTTGCTGCAGGCAGGGAGCCATTCCTGGTGCAGGGAGACGGATCCCCCCTCTGGGGGCACCTTCCCTGGGGCCGGGCAGAGCGACCTTCCCTGAAGGACATTCCCTGTGCTCTGGCTCCTGCATCCAGCCAGCAGCCAGAGCCTTGGCCCGGCATCTCAGCTGCCCCGAGTGCTCTTTCACCTCCTGAGTGCTGCTGTTCCTGCTGACTCCGTGGTGTTGCAAGAGCTGGAGCTGCTGTGTAAAGTCCGGGTAAACAGGTTGCAAAGTCCCTGCAGCTCTGGAGAGGAAGGGCATTGGACAAAGCTGCTGCTCGTGGGCAGTGGGGTGATTTATTTGCATAGAATGAGGTGTCTGCTGGGGTAAAACTGTGTGGAGAGAGGAGATGACAGCAGAGCAGGACCTCTGATGGGTCTTGCCTGTGCCACCCTGTCTCTCTGTGGGCAAAAGAAAATGGATTAAAATTGCCACAAGTCATGGAGTGTGTCCAGAGTCCCTGCTCTCTTGTGCACCTTCCCATGGTGCATGGATTTTAGGCCAGAACAACACTGGGGAACAGGGAGGGGACCTGGCAGCTCGAGTGCCCTGTTCCTTCATCCTTGGCTAGGGCAGCCTCATTGCCCCAGAGGCTGCCAGTTCCCAGGAACAATGTGCTGTTCCTTTGCTGGGCTCCTGGGAATGTCTTTGCCTGTGGGATGCTGAGCAGAGCCTCTGCCTCCCCTGCATACAAGTGTGACTACTGAGGCTGTAGCAGGCTGCAGGAGGTGCAGCATCTCTCCCTGTAGCATTTGGTGTGGCTGCCATGAGCTGAGGTTCTGGTTGTCCCTGGATTGCTGCTTGTCCTGGGTGCTTCCCTGCTCTCTGGCTTCTGGGTGTGCTGGGCGAGGAGCTGGTGCTGGGGGACCGAGAGAGAACAAATATTTATGGTGCTTTAAACATCCAGCACTTCAATTCTGCAGTGTGGAAGGTTGGGAAGTGGCCTTGGCAGCACTCGGGGTGTTCGTGTGGCTGTGGTGGCGCAAGGCTGGTGGCACCGTGGTGTGTGAAGGAGTGGAGAGGGGCCAGCTGGTGCTCAGCCTTTTGGGGACTGGACCCAGCTGGAGCACATTGCTCCTCATTGAGCTGCTCTCTGGGGCCTGCCAGCTGCTCCTGCAGGAGCTGTTTGTCTTTGCAGGAGAAATGAGTGTTCAGCCAGCCCCCTGCCATGGGACCAGCAGTGTCTGCCTCTCTGACGGACACGCCAAGGGCAGGAGAGGGTTGAGGGGGCAGCAGGGGTGTGCTGGGGACCCTGGGGCTGGTGGCTGTCCTCCTGTGATGCCCCAGGGGAGCTGCTGGCTGGCTGCAGTGCTGTGGGCTGGCTCTGTGTTTCCTGCCATGCCCCAGAGCAGCGGATGCATGGAGGCGTCAGGGCTGGCAGTGGTCACCCAGCACCGCCTCCTGAGGGGAGCCTGCCTGGGCTGGGCTGGGCTGGGCAGCTCCAGCCCCCTGAGAACACAGTGGGAAAGAAACAAGGAGCCTTTGTTTGCTGTGGCAGAGCTGGGCTGGCCTCACGCCCCGTCCCCAGGGGCCGGGATGCGGCCCAGCTGGGCTGGCGTGTCCTTCCTCGGGCACTCAGTGCCACGGTGTCCCCATCCCTGCCTGCCGTGCCTGTGGGAGGAGTGGGATGCTCTGTGAGCAGAGCTGAGCTTTGCCTTGCCCCAGCTTTGTTGAGGCTGGCCTGGCTTCTTGGCTCCCTGGGTACGAAGCGCAGCCTGGTGCTTTTTGTGCTTGTGGGGAAAAACAGCATAAGGCTGTTTAAAGATGGGTGCTGCTCTGCTGCTGGGGACAGGGCTGAGAGGAGGCAGCAGTGCTCCTGAGGATGCCAGTTGCCAGTGGCACTGACAGAGGGGAGCTGGCAATCCCAGAGAGATCTCTTGCATGTGTGAGGACCATGCAGAAAAAATATGACTTTGTGAGAAAGTCTGCTGGTCCAAGGAGTTGGTGCTGCTTGCTGTTGTCACAGGGAGCAGCCATGGGCCGTGGTGTCCCCTATCAGCATCCCTTCATGGGGGTACTTCGGGGGGCTGCTGATAAGCAGAACTGTGCCACGTGGCACCAGCCTGTGCTTCACTGCAGAGCAGGATAACAACCACTGCACCCAGTCCCAGCCTCTCCTGCAGAGGCAGTGTGTTCCCTGCTGGGGTGTCCTCTGGGCCCTGATGGGCCCCAAGCCTGGCAGTGGGGGCACAGGCCTGCTGAGTCACACCAAGGACATGGCCAGGCTGGAGGAACCACTGGAAGCTGTATAGGAGACTGGGAGCCCCAGCTGGGAGCTGACCACACACTGTGCCCCAGCCTGTGGGCTGGAGCATGGTTCACCTTCCCTGGGCAAAGAGCAGGGAGATCCTCAGGGTGGCATTGACCCCAGTGGCAGCACCCTGTGCCCTGTCCTGGGCAGAGCAGGGTTGGCCCTGTGAGACCTGAGGGAGCTCAGCCCTGTGCTTCCTCCTGGTGCCCTGTGAGACCTGAGGGAGCTCAGGGTTGGTGCTTTGAGACCTGAGGGAGCTCAGCCCGGTGGTTCCCCCCAGTGCTGCTGGCACAAAGGGCTCCTGCTGCTCGGCGGGACCTGGCCACACTTTGATGCTCTGTGATCCATCGTGGCTGGATGGGCCGAGCCCAGCTCCCCCAGCACAGCTGGGTCCAGCTGCAATGGCTCCAGCCATGCTGAGGGGAGCCCCAGAGCTGAGAGCCAGCATCCCTTGCTGCCCAGGCCATCAGGAAAGGCTGCAGCCATTGTAATCAGTGCCCAGCAGCCACCACTGTGGGAGCCCAGGGCAGCCAGACAGGCTTGATGATAATTGTGCTTCCTGCCAGCACAGCCAGGTCTGCAGATGAGCTCCTGCTGGTGTGGGCAGTGGTGCTGTGCCTGCCTCAGCACCGCTGGGTTTGTACATCCCAGTGCTGGCAGCTCACCTGGAGGTGCGAGGCTCCAGAGAGGGAGAGGTGCCTTTGAGGGGCAGCACACCAAATAGGCAGCCATGGGTGTGGTGTTTTGCCCTGCTTTCCCACCCCTTTGCCCGGTGTCCTTGAGAGCTCTTGCCATGGCAGGGCAATGATGCCCATTCAAGGCACCAGGCTGGCACAGGGCCCTGCTGCTGCGTGCAGTCCTCAGGGTTTTGGTGAGGACAGGGATATCATGTCCCAGCCCACACCAGGCTGCCAGAGGTGCCAGGCTCAGCCGTCATGGAGCTGGGAGCAGCCATGTGGCCGTGAATGGGCACAATGCTGCTCTTGCCTCAGTGTCCCTTTCTCTCCCATGCAGGTGGCCTGGCTGGAGGGATCGAGATCTGCATCACATTCCCCACCGAGTATGTGAAGACGCAGCTGCAGCTGGACGAGAAGGCAAACCCTCCCCGCTACAAGGGCATTGGTGAGCAGCCCCTCTCTGGGTTTGGGGCTCCTGGGGAGCCTGGCTGGTGCTGGGGGTGTGACAGGGTGGTGCTGGGTTGTCCTCGGCGTGGTGGTGACAGCGCCGCCGCTGTGCTCTGCCGCAGGGGACTGTGTGAAGCAGACTGTCCGTGACCATGGCGTCCGGGGGCTGTACCGGGGGCTCAGCTCGCTGTTGTACGGCTCCATCCCCAAGGCTGCTGTCAGGTATGTGCCCCCATGGCAAGGGGTGAGTGGGGGGGGACGCCCGACAGCAGCAAACAAGGGGGTGGCTTTGCCCTTGGTGTCTCTGTTGGTGTTATACCAAAGCCATGTGGTCTCCCAGGCAGGGGGGGTCCTCTCAGAGGGTGTGCAGCTGCTCCTGGACCCAGAGCAGGGGGGTGCAGACCCCTGTCTGGGTGCCCAGGGGTTGGCACAGTGGCTTCTTTGCAGGTTTGGGACATTCGAGTTCCTCAGCAACCGGATGAGAGACGAGCAGGGGCGGCTGGACAGCACACGGGGCTTCATCTGTGGGCTGGGGGCTGGCATGGCTGAGGCTGTGGCCGTGGTCTGCCCCATGGAGACTGTGAAGGTGGGTGGCTGTGCCTGCCACTGTCCCCTGCCTTGGCACCCCTCGCTGGGCTGGGCTGGGAGGGGACAAAACCCAGGGATGCCCTACTTTTGGGGACCTGAGGGCTGTGTGCGTTTGCCCAAGACAGTTTTATAGGGGCGGATCTGATGCTGGAAAGCTCTGTGGAGATCAAGTCAGGTGGCCCTGGCCCCTTCTCCGCTCCAGGGAGGAGCCCCCCACCCAGGAGCCATCTTGTCACCCATTTTATGAGTGTAAGGCCCACATGGCTGCTTGCAGGAGCATTTTCCCATGTTTTCCTCTGCAAAATGCACTGATGGCCACGGGCACAGCCTTCCCCTGTGATCTCTCCCAGAGCTGCATGGGTTGGCTCTGGTCTTGGGACTGTCCCTGGAACAAGGCAGGAGGTGGCTGCCAGCCCTTGGGGCCATCACATCTGCATTACCTCAGCCAGGACAAGCACATCATCTCCTTGTAGGTGAAGTTTATCCATGACCAGAGCTCTCCCAACCCCAAATACCGTGGTTTCTTCCATGGCGTCCGGGAGATCGTTCGGGAACAGGGTGAGTCCCAGGAAAGTGGCACCCTGACTCCCTGAGTACTGCCATGCTGTGGGGACAGGGTGGGAGGTGGTGGATGGGCACAGGCTGGGACAGGTGGCTTGGGGAGAATTTTCTCTGCCACTTGAGGCTGGTCTCCCCTCCAACACCCTCTCCTTGCAGGACTGAAGGGGACCTACCAGGGCTTAACTGCAACTGTCCTCAAGCAAGGATCAAACCAGGCCATCCGCTTCTTTGTCATGACCTCCCTCAGGAACTGGTACAAAGGTATGGTGCCCTTGGCCCCCCAGGCCACCCTGGCTGTGCCTCTAGCTCCCCAGCCAGCCTTGGGAGCTGGGATGGTTTTACCTTCCACACCCCCCCTGTTTCTCATGGCTCAGTCACCTGGAATGGAGGAAAATGAATACTGGGGTGGGGTGGCACCAGCTTGTGGGGCTGATGGGTCCTAGTGCTGGAGCATCACTTTCACACCCACCCTGAGCCCCACAGTGTGGTTTGGGCTCTGTGGGGCAGGTGCTGCTGGACAGTCCCCAGCTCAGCACTGCCTCCTGAGCACAAGCAGCCAGACCTGGGACCTTCCTTCCAGGCTCCCTCGGGAATGTACGTGGGAATCCCACCACCACTTTGCCCTGACCCTCTCTTCCTTCCTAGGGGACAATCCCAACAAGGCCATTAACCCCTTCATAACAGGGGTGTTTGGAGCCATTGCTGGAGCTGCCAGTGTCTTTGGCAACACTCCCTTGGATGTGGTGAAGACCAGGATGCAGGTACAGTGCCAGGGCCTGGTGTGGGACTGCTCTGCCTGCAGCAGGCTAGGGGCACCCCCTGCCTGGGAGCTGTTTGCTGCAGTCCCTGGGACAGGCACAGAGTGCCGTGAGGTTTGGTTTGGGAGATGTCTGGGATTGCTCCTGAGCCATGGGGAGAGTTTGCACCGAGGTGAGGACATCCCTGTGGGGACTGATGTCCTGCAGCAGTGGAGAGATGAATTCCTCATGGCACACCTCTGCCTCTCCCCAGAAATCCCGTAGAGGCATCCCTGGCTCTGGGCTCTGATCCTGCTTTTCCCACAGGGGCTGGAAGCGCACAAGTACAAGAACACCTGGGACTGCGCCTACCAGATCATGAAACACGAAGGGCCCCTGGCGTAAGCTCTGCACGGGGGGTGGCTGGTGGGGAGGATGGGCAGGGAAGGGGCTGTGAGGGGACCCAGCCCCACGGCCCCCCTCTCTATTCCTGGCAGGTTTTACAAGGGTACAGTGCCTCGCTTGGGCCGTGTGTGTCTTGACGTGGCCATCGTCTTCATCATCTACGATGAGGTGGTCAAACTCCTCGACAAGGTGTGGAAAACGGACTGAGGGGCCGGGCCAGGCAGCCCCCACCTCCTGTGCCCCACAGGGCTTCAGCTGGAGAGCAGAGACCAAACCCACATCCACCTGAGGCACTGCTGGGGCCAGGTCTGCCCTGCACACCCCAAACCTGGCCACCTTTATCTTTAGGAACAGGCTCTGGAGCAGGTTACATTACTAGTTGTGTGCTGAAAGGAGCAGGGGGGGAGCTGCATCCCACCATCCCAACCCCCAGCATCCCTGTCATGCCCACCCCAATCTCCTGGTGACACTTTCCCCCAGCCCCACATGAGCTATGTGTACTGGTTGACCAGACTGAGATGTCCCCTTAACAGTGGCCTTGGGGCTCCCAGCAGCCACGAACTCCTGACTGCCTCAGGAGCAGCTCTTTTGGGGGTGCTGAGAGCTCCCTCAAGCCATGTGGGTGCAATGCCAAGCTGTACATCACAAGCTGACAACGGGGCTGCTATCATGGCAGGGTCACAGCTGCTCTTGGAGGGGGCCCAGCAGCCCTGCACCCCCTGGGATGGGAGAGCAGTGACCCCAAGCTCCCTCCCTCCCTTCCAGCACCAAGACCACTGGTGTGCAACATCCCATCCCATCCCATCCCAGGGATCCTGCTCAGCCCCGGGCTGCTGAGCAGCAGTTGCCCAAAATTGCACATACACCAGGCCTTTAGTTCTGCTCACTGTGGGCTGGGCTTGGGGTGAGCCGGGTGCCCCCTCAGCTGCCGTTTACAGCCGAGCCGTGCGTGCGAGCCGGGGCAGGAGGTGCAGTCCCAGCCGCAGCCTTGGCCCCTCGGCCAGGGGTGCAAACCCCTTTCTTCTGCCACATTCCCCGCATCCACCCTCCCGCCGCGTTTCTGTGGTGCCGTAGGTGATCCCGTAGCTTTTGGAGCTTTAGAGCTTCACGCTGACTCACTAACACCCATGGCCGTGGGGCTGGAGCCCTGCCCTGCCCTGCCCGTGCCAGGCTGGCCCCACTGGATTTGTGCCAAATTTCTCCCTGAGGGAGCTGGGGGTGCAAGAGCCAGGGCTCAACCCATCCCTCCTCCCCTTGTAGCCAGCGATGAGCTCAGCCTTAACACTGGAGAGTGAAGGAGGAAAGCCTGGGCACGGTTTACCTGCGGCTTTTGGCTCTGAAGCCAGTGAGGGTTGCATTAGTTTTTTTTTTTTTTTATTGTTATTCTGTTTTACATTCGCAATTTGAATAAAATCAGTCTGGCTTTAGCGGCTGCGTTGGCGTCCGGGCTGTGCTGAATGGGCAGTGAGTGGGGGACGGGGCTCTCCTTCATGCCAAGATGGTGCTCCTGGGGGAGCATCAGCTCCAGCCCAGCGGTGCCCAGTCACAGATGCTCCCAGGCAGGGTTGTGTTGTCCCGTTCACGGTGCTTTATTAATAATCCTGGTTAATTGTATGAAGTGCCCTGCCATGGAGCCGAGGGGCGGTGGAGCAGAAGGGAACGGGCTTTGTCCCCCCGCCCAGCCCGGGGGCGGTGCGGCAGGGCCGAGCTCCCACCCGCACAGCCCTCGCTCCTCAGCCAGTGTCGGCTGGAGCGGGCCAGAGCCCTCGTCCCGCAGAGCTCGCAGGCTGCCGGTGCCATGCGGGGCCCGCTGCTCTGGGCGGGCTGGCTGCTGGCCACCGGCTGCCTGCTGGGAGCCACGGGCAGCTGCCGGCACCGCTGCTGCCCCGGCAGGAACAACGCGTGCTGGGCCCCCGGCGCCCGCCGGGCTCGCTGCTACTGCGACTCGTACTGCCAGCGGACCGGAGACTGCTGCCAGGACTACCCCACCTCGTGCCGCCGTGCCGGTGAGTGCCCGAGGGGACGGATGGCACCGGCCTGACCGCGGCTGGGGACACCGGCCTGTGCTGCCGTGCTCGGCGGCGAGTGTTTGCTGGTACCTGTTAGCCCCGTTCTTTGAGTGATAACAGGATGTGTCTGGGGATGCTGGCTGGGCTGGATTCGTAGCAATGTCCCCATTGTCCCCTTTTTTCCATGCTGAATGTCTGGTTGGCCCCAGTGCAATGAGAGAGCTTGAAGGGGTGGCCTCTGCTCCGCAGCTGATGGTAGCACTGTCACTGCAAGCCTGAGTGGTCAGTGTGGGACCCAGCAGGACAAACCCCAGTGTCACCTCTGCCACTGTCACAGGCAGTGCCTTGCACAGGGGAACCGGGAGCTGCACTGAGGGTGCCAAGCAGGGCTCACAGGCCTGGGGAGTGCAGAACCAGCCTGTCCTGGGGACCCAAATCTCGGTAGGCAGGCGCCGGCAATGGCCCCCTGGACAATTGCAGCAGTCAGCCCTTCCTAATCTCCGCGGAGATTAGCAGGGTCCCAGCTCAGCGCGATGCACACAGCGATAAAGTCCTGCAGAAGCAGCTCACAAAACCCTGCACCGGCAGGGGTCAGGGGAGATGGGCTGCTGGGTCACTCTGGCCGTTGCCCTTCCTCCCCTCTCCCCATCCCCTGTGCTGCATCTCCCTTGCTCTGCTCTTTCCATTGTTCATGACACTGAAACTCTTTGTTTTGCCTCTCCTCGGTCCCTGGCAGCGGTGGGCTGTGCCGTGGGGCCCTGGGGGCCGTGGAGCGGGTGCAGCTCCCCGTGCGGGGCTGGCAGCAGGGCCCGCAGCCGCCAGGTCACGGTGCCGCCCCGGCACGGCGGGGATCCCTGTCCGGACCTCAAGCAGCGCCGCGGCTGCCTGGGGCAGCACCCGAGCTGCGGCACGGCCCAAGGTAACGGGGTGCCCGCTGCTCTCCTGCTGCTGTCCCCGTGTGCTGCCGCCCCGGGGTGCCTTTAATCACCCCCCTGCCCCTCACAGCTGCTCTTGTGCCAGAGGTAGCCAAGATTCTCCCCAACTCCTTCAGCCAGGACTTCAGAGATCCCTGGCGAAGAGCTGGGCTGCCACCGCCGCAGGAGCCCTCTGGGTACGTGTGGGGTCGGGGCCCCTCTGTAACCCCCGTCCCCTAAGCCGGGACCCCTCCTGCACCCTCTGCAGCCATGGCCTCTTTGCACCCCCCGACCCAGGGCCTTTTTGTTTCCCCCAGCCATTGCTTTTCTCCCTGCCCCAAACCGTTGCCCACGGCCCCGTTGCACCCCCATACAAAACCATGGCCGTCTGCATGCCCCACAGAACCACCATCCTTCCCGCCCTCCAACCTAGGATCCCTCTGCACCCCCCAGAGCCATCACCCTTCCCACCTCCCCAGCCGAGCCCCCTCTGCCACCCCCCAAACCCACATCCTCTTTATACCCCAATCCATCAAGAACCCAGCCCAATCTCTGCCCTACCTCCCGACCACCATTTTCCCTCTTTTCTCCTCCCCAGCTCCCCCCTGCCCAGCTCCTGCGGCTTTTTCCGCCTGACCCAGGTGGGGCTCCCGTGCCGCGGGCGCGCCTGGAGCCGCCGGCTGCAGCGGGACAGGCAGGTCTGTGTGGAATGCCGGGGGAATCTGCCCCACCGCCGTCCCCACTGCACCGGACACGGCCTGCAGGGAGCCAGGTGGGTGCTAATCTGTGCCATCCCCACCGTGGGATCTCTCCTGGAACATCTCTCCCTGTCTCTAAGGCATTATCCCTTTATATTCTAATTATAATATTTGTATACAAAGCTATAATTATGTTAAAATATGCTACAATGTTATAGTATACCATCATGTTATTAAATGAATCAATAATATGTCCTATAAACAGAGATTATAATATTAAATTAAACATATATAAATAGAATAGAATATCTGTTGGAAGGGACAGACAATTATCATCTAGTCCGACTGCCGTTATTATATATGTAATATAAACCCATATATAAAACTATATTTGATTTTTAAAATTTGTATTTATTAATGGCACACCCCAGTTCTCACCGATTTTCCCTTCCAGGACATTTTGGGTGGCCGCTTCTGTGGTGGGGTGCCAGGGCTCATGGGTGCAGGAGGGCCTGCAGGAGGGCTGTGTCTGCTCCCCCCCAGCTCTCATCTTCGTGTAGGGAAGGTGAGCTGACCCTCCCCATGGCACCACTCCTTGCTGGGGAGGTGAGGGATTAAAAAAAAATGTGCTCTCTTTCATAATTTCACCTTCCTACAGGTTTGCTGTTCACCCTTGGTGCCAGGTCCCTCTGTTTTCCATTAAATATTTTGCTGAAGAATGGAAAAAACCTTCTTATAAAGACTAAAAATAAGGGAATTGCTGAAGTGTGGTGATAAATGGTAGAAGAACAGCATGATGAGGTAAAGTCTGGGTGAGAAGACAATGTGGCAGTGACATGGTGTGATGATGTCACACTCAGCCATGACATCATACTTTACAAGCTGCAACTGGCAAGCAACCTAAGGATGGAGGCAGCATCCCTCCCTTGTCTGAGCTCGCTCACTGCAGTATCAGGTGAGCCATGCAGGGCAGTTCAGCCCTGCTGGGCTTTGCAGAATTAAACAGACTCCCAAAGTCTGCACACAGGCAATGGTGCCAGTGCCCAGTTCCAGCCATGGGGCTCAGCAGCCCCCACTGGAAAGAGTGAGGCTGAGCTGGGTGTTGCTGCTGCCCTTCTCCACGCCTCACCCAGCACAACACGACCTTGCTGGTGGGGTCCCTGCTTCAGCTCTGGGTGGTGCCACCACAGCCTGTGGTGGGAGCATGTGCCATGCTAGGGCTGGATCCTGCTCCACTGCAGCCAGAGGCTGTTGTCTGCTGCCCCAGGACATGTCTGGCTCCTGCAGCCTGTTCTCACACCACCCTCCTGGGCAGGGGAATTAAAAGGCTTCAACACTGGGAATGTTCTTGGCCTCTTTATTTGGGATAAAAGCCCAGGTCGGCCAAGGACCAAAGTGCTGGTTAAAAAAACAGGTGGTGGGAGTTGAGCATGAGGGGGTGTGAGAGTTCTGGAGCACAGGTCCCCTCCTGTCAGCCAGAGCTGAGGGCAAGGAAGCCATGGACATGGGCCAAGGCAATGCTGTACTGGAGTCCTCAGCTGCAGTTAGAAACTGGGAACAAAAGTGAGTGTGTCCCACATTGTGAGTGGGGTTCCCCTGAGTTACACCACCAAACCTGCAGGCCTGGCTGCTGGTCAGAGAGAGCATCCAGGAAATGGAGGGAGATGGCTGCAGGATTTCATGTCACACTGCTGCATGCCTGGAGCTGTCAGTCCCCGATAGTGGTCCCAGCTCTCCTGGTGCATTGTCCTGCCTTGGCACAGGAGCCAGCCCATGCTGCACCAGCAGCCCCTGTACCAGCTCCAGCTCCTGCTCCAACTCCTGGGAGCCACAGCCCAGGCCTGGCGTGGCGGTGGCACCTTCCCCCAGCACCCGCAGCACCTGTGCCACCAGCTGGGCCCTCACCAGCAGCAGGGCCAGGGCTGTGTGGAGTTTGGCACAGCCCAGCGCCTTCATCCCCCAGCGGGCAGCAGGACCTGTGCGAGAGCGGGGAAGGAGCCTGAGTGTGGCAGGGTGCCCCTGGGCAGAGCTGGCCTGGAGAACAAGGACACCGCTTGCTTGTCCCAGGTACTCCATGCTCACCATACCTTGGCTCCAGCAGTGTCTGCAGTACTGCAGGTCCCTCAGCACACCGGGGCCTGTGGCTTCCAGCCACTGCAGAGCCGAAGCATGGACTGGGCTGCCAGTGGGAGCCTTCTCCAGGAGCTGCACCAGGACAGGGAGCAGCTGCTGTGCCAGGACAGCTGGCTCTGCAAAAACGTTGGGTTCATCCTCCTTGTACAGGCTGACAGCTCTAGGGGGAAAGCAGAGGTGTGAGTGAAGCCAAGAGCTGGGCCCATGGTACCCCAGGCTCCCTTGTGCCAGTCCACAGCTCCAGCAACTCACTTGTTGGCCTCCAGCTCCTCCACAACACTCCTGACATCTAAGACGGGGATGTGTTGAAGTAGTGAGTTGAAGGTCTCAGGGTGCTCCCCGAACTCTCCCAGAAGGAGCTCTAGGAGGCTCTGGAGCCCTACATTGTCCTGCACAAAGATGCAGCCATCTTGGAGCAGCTCCCCTGGGCTCTGCCGCAGGAGGCTGGCGAATCCTGAGGCCTCATGCCGAACCTCCCGCTCCTCATCTTGCAGAAGGTGAATGGCCATGTTTATCAGCCTGAGAAAAGGGAAGAGAAAGAAAGGGAAGCATACTGCATGCCCCAAAGCATCTCAGTCTGCTTGGAGGGGAGGATGAGACCTCAGAAGAATGCTTCTCTGAGGGACTTTTTCCCTGGACTGTGAAAGACACAGCCACCACCCAAGAGCTTGAGAGGGTAGGGACTGTGCTGGGGATTGAGGACTCAGCAATGCCATCTGGTGCTCATAATGGACTGGCTGCTTGTACTAAAACACCACCCACAGGTCTTTTTGTAGGCTGTGAGCTCTTGAGTGCCACTGATTTTTGAATGAGCGGGGTTTTCTTCAACACCCTTGAGTTTCTACAGGGGACACCTTTTGCAGAGTCCATCAACCTGCAGCAGGCTGCGGCTGGGGCTGCAGTGAGCAGTGCTGCAAGCACAGCCACCCCCAGAGATGGGCTCAGTGACCTACCTCAGAGCCACGGGGACGAGCGAGGGACAGGCAGCACGCAGGGATGGCTGTACCACGCCGGGCCCTGCCAGCTGCAGGGAGCAGGTACCACGCAGGGATGGCTGCACCATGCTGGGCCCTGCCAGCTGCAGGGAGCAGGTACCACGCAGGGATGGCTGCAGCACGCTGGGCCCTGCCAGCCGCAGGGAGCGGGCGGCCGCCAGCCGCAGCAGCTCGGAGCCGGCGGAGCGGCTGCACTCCTCCAGCGCCGCACACCAGCGCTCCACCAGCGCAGCGTCCTTGTCCCCACACCTGCCAAGACCAGGGAAGGAGAGCGAATTCAAGCACACCTTGCTGCTCCATTAGGGGACCAAAGGTCACTGGCTGCCCTGAGATTGCAGGAGCCAGGTGCAATGGTGTGATTTATGGGAGGGAAGTCAGGGCTCTGTTTCTAGTAAGGACTAAGGAAGAATCTGCTGGAAGAGTTGGGCAGCCCCCCAGCAGCAGCAAGGACCTACTGGTGGGCAAGCAGCAGGCTGGCAGCACACAGTGCCTGGAAGAGGAGATCAGGCCCAGGACGCTCAGCCTCCACCATGTGCAGCAGCATCTCCAGGCATGATCTTGAGGAACCCTGGAGCTTACAGGAAGCTTCCTGGGACCATGACGAGGGATCTCTGTAAAGATGCAGCAAAGCCTCAAGGTACAATCTCAGGAACTCTTTGTCCCTCCTCTCTTGCAGCACCGACTGCAAGCTCTCCTAGTTGACAATGGGAAAGAAGGTACATGGTTAGTGGTCCTAGCACTGCAGGACCAGGCAATTGCACTGCACCCATGCACCCTCAGCCTGGGGAGCACCAAGCTTTCAGCAATGGGATCTCAGGGGTTCCATCTGCGTGGTGCACTGGTCCCCCCTTCTTTACTTGGTGACTTTTGAGTCCCACCATACCAGCAATGTCAGCCCAAGAGCGTTCTCCACCTCCTTGCATGATCCTCCCTCCCCAGCAATCACCCAGCTCAGGATGGCAAGCTGGATGTCGGGGTTGGGGTGCTGGAGGAGTGAGCAGACAGCAGCAATGCGCTCGCTGTCCGCCAGCTGGGCTGCCTCGCTGCACACGAAGTGGGCCATGGTTTGGTGGAGGATGGCTGAGCCCACCTGCAGGAAAAAAACAGGATTCCCCTTCGAGTGCTCAGCCTGGAGCGATGGCTCCCCCTGCCCAGGCTCACTGCCAGTCAGGCACGGCCATGTGCAGTACCTGTGGCTCGGCACAGCCTGACTTTCCCCCCTGCAGGAGGCTGCCCAGCTCGGTGCTGATGGTGTCATGGATGTACCGGGCGAAGCCAGGGCTGAAGGATGTGGGCAGGAGGGCGAGGACCTGGAGGAAGGCAGCGCGAACGAGGGGGCAGCGCTGGGCAGGGGTGAGCAGCCAGCCCCGCGCCTCCAGCTGCAGAGCCACGGGGTGCAGCGCCTGTGCCGACAGCCTGCGTGGAGACACAGCCTCACCAGGGGGCAAGCGCTGAGATGGGCACTCCTGTGGCCAAAGGGCTGCATTTGGCACACAGTGAGCCCAGCTGGGGAGGCAGCGTGGAACACTCACCCCCCGGTGCCCGTGGCACAGCCCAGCAGTGCCTGCATCTGCAGCAGGTGCCCGTGAACGGCGTTGTGCGAGCGGATCTGCCCGGGTGCTGCAGGGAGCTGCCGGGCCAGCTGCAGGAGGAGCCTGTAGCGCTGGGGAGGGGCCACAACGGGCACCAGAGCCTTGGCAGCCATCGCTCGTACGGCGTAGATGGGGCTCCCTGCCAGCCCCAGCAGTGGCTCCAGGAAGGGAGCAGAGGGACTGTGGAGCAAAAAGGGCACCATGTGGTGACGCTCTGGCTGGAGTAAAGTCTCACAAGAGCCAGGGCCAGCCTCAGCATCATGGGAGCCCTTCCCACTGCATGAGCCCTGGGCTGAGGCACAGCATCCCCACTGCCCCATACCTGCCGGCAATGTCAGCACCAGGCTGCAGCTGGGCCAAGAGGGTGAGGATGGCATGGAGTGCAGGGTGCAGGTGGGGCCCCCCTGATGTGGGTGCTGTGGCCACCTTGAGCTCTCCAAGCAGCACAGCGCCCAGCTTTGGGTGCTGCCCGAGGAAGGCGTGCAGGCTCAGCCCCTCTGATGGGCAGCCATCCCTGTGGCTCCACGGCTGTCCCAGCAGCCGGGATGTGAGGGCACCTGCAGGGACAGAGAAGGCAGTGTCAGGTCCCATCCAACCCTGCCATGCCCCTGCACTTCACTGCACACAGGCTCCGAGCCCTGGGGCCTGTGGGGTCTCTGTCAGTACTCACTGAAGAGCTGGATGGCCGCGTTCCTCATGGCCCAGCAGGGCGAGCCCAGGCCCCGCAGTGCCAGGGCCATCATGGGTGTGGCGTGGCACAGCACTGCCCCGCCCAGCCCCGCCCCGCGGACCAGCGTCTGCAGCACGTGGAGGGCACACACCTGGGGAGAGCACAGGGGCTCAGGGGCACCGTGTCACAAGGGGGCTCATGCTAC